GCCGGCCAGCCAGTCAGCCACACCCCGACGCGATTAAACCTGTTGCTGCTTTGCTCGTGGTCCGACTCCATAGACGCATACACGTAGGTGTCTGGCTGTGAGTCCTATATGCAGAGATCATTCTGAAACATTTCAAAATCGTTCACGAAATACTCTGAGATACGTCTCAGATATTTCACGTGAGCTTCCATTCAACAGATTTCAGGAAACGATCTCTCAATGAACCCTCGAACATTAACGAAAACTAGAAAGAAAATAAACTTCCTTCGATTACATTACAACGAAGGTTGATACGCTGAAGAAAAACTGAATCTATCGATATGAGAAAGACCAGTGAACTCGTTGCTCGTAGGCATGATTATTCATTTAAAGAAATATTTGTGTGTACTAAATATACAGTGTATACTAAATAAACAACACCATGGAAGAAGAGTGCCAACAATCATATTAATGGACTAAAAAAAAAAAAGGAAAATAATAATAACATACACGTGTATCGTGTATCTTAAGAACATTAAGTTCAAAGAGAGAGCTGCAGCACCGATCTCGTACACCTCTACCCCTGCGATCCGTATCGCTTACCTTTGACTTACGGTTTTTGCCACTCTCGTGTTATCCGACGAGATCGATGCAAGAACAGTATATAACGAGCTGGCGAGGTCTCGAATTTCGCGTCTCTGGTAACGGTGTGACGCAATTCGGTAAGCCGGCCGCGAGGGGTGAAACGGCTACCTAAGTGGGCTGCCTAGAACGACCGAAATTAGGAGACAAGTTTCTTAGGGAAAGGACAACAGTGATGCATCTGATTTGTTAAACAAATCGCCTCTTGACTAGAATCTTCTATGATGTCGGAAACTTAATAAAGATAAGTCAATTAAGGATAGATCGACTGATAACCTTTTGCTTAAATCTCAAATGTCTTGTTTCTTTCTCATGATATCACATTTTTTTATACTACGTTAAAATATTACCAAAGGAGCCTAATTAATACATGCTGCAATAAATACAACGATACATTTTGCAATTGTACTGTGTGGATGAACGTCGTACGTTCTGGATAAGTGAGGAATGATCGAAATCCGAGAGAGAGAAAGAGAGAGAGAGAGAGAGAGAGAGAGAAAGAGGAAGAGGAGAGGCGGACAGAATCCTTGGATCGGGTCGCGTGTACGGGCAGGATCCGGAGAAGTCCTCGCTGGGGGTTAGGGTCACGTCAACGTAAAAGCAAGGTAGAGAGACCGTGGAAGCGGCGTATGCGGTGCTGGTAGTGGGGAAGGGCAAAAAGGTGGAGTGAGAGAGCGAAGGGGGATTCATTGAGGAACGGCACGTGCAGAGGATAGAACGCGACCGCGAGCTCGATGGAACGGTCACGGCAGGGGGTAGAGGCCGGGGCTAGAGGAGCAACAACAGGGTTGCCTGGCGACCGTCAGCCGACGAGTTGCCCTGGCGACTGATTGCGTCACTGCAGCGCCGTATGACGTCACGCGACGCCACTGCCCTTGACCGCTCGAGTCCGGGGAGAGCGTCCTGACGACCCTCTGTTCTCCTTCCACCCCTTCTGCTCCCCCCTTTCTCCACTCCCTACCACCGTCATACTCCCCGACTCAGGGGGTGAGAGGAGAAGTTCTGACGCCGTCGTAATCCGGAGGGGTAGAGTTGTCTGCGAAAGGGAGCAAACGTTTGCGCTATGTACATGCACGTCGCAAGTTTCTCGTTGGTTTCTCCACCACTGTCACCGCCACCACTATCACCACCACTCACCACATAGGGTTGCAAAGGTGTTACAAAAATAACTCGTACGTTCGTCGCAGATATTTCAGGAATTACGTCGATCGCCACTCCTTATTTTTACCGGGATTTTCTGTCACTTTGTGTTGCGCCGTTGCAACGTTTGATGTTTGCACCAACCGGGAATAACAATGAGTAGACCTGGGGATATTTATATAGACTCGTATCTTTGCGAGGAACAACAAACATACGATGATCTGAATTAACTTAAACTAGACACTCGATTAACTTAAATTTCAGTAAAGTAAAAAAAAAAACAGGATTTAAGTAGAGATTTGTTTCACATAAATGCTACATTGTACTTTGAATGTCTAATATACATCCACGCTTTAAAGTTTTAAAATAGTTTATACGGCAAAAAAATTAGTTCGCGTATAAGCTGTTAAGATGCATATAAGATAAAGTTTATAATCTACATCAAATATCAATTATTAAAAATATTAAAGCGCTCCAAGACTTTTAAACGGGGGATGTGCATTTTACATAAGTTTCACATCTTTAAATCTCGATTCGAGGGATTACATTGTTTCGTGAATGTCGTCGGTTCTTCCAATTTTAGATTTTTAAATACATTAACGTCAATGGGTTCCGTTTCTATGAATCGATTTTAAAATGAACTCGGTGAAGTAATTCGTGCTTTTCATAGTTTCAAGTCGGAGATAGAAATTGAAGAAACTGAAAATTTATAATGATTAACTTTATCTCGCGATTATTTATGTTCGATAAAACCAAAGCGTTTGAAATGCACTCTGGCAAACGATCGATTGCAAATCGATTACTCGGTCTTCACAGAATCAGTCGCGATAAACAATTTAAAAAAAAAAAAAGCACGTTACGAGAACAAACATTAACACCAAATATGAGTTAATACCAAATATTACGTTTCATTAAAATATTTTATAACCCCGCAATACATCTAGTGGAATGGGATCGCGATTCGTGGGCGGGAAACGTACGCGTGTAACTTGCTATTTCGAACTCGCTGCACAATGAAAAGCAGTAAAAAAAAAAAAGGCGATTACTATTCGACTTTCTACCATTTACGTCATAAGTCTCATGAAAGAAATAAAACGTGAATGTATATTTCGATTCTTGTTCAGTACTTGAGATTCAATCCATATTGCATTAAAAACACGAAAGAAAAATGTTCATAAAATGTTTAAATATGACACGTTTAAATATAACACGAATATGCATATACATTCTATTTTTTAGTCTAATTGCATTATACAATTTTATGTACTCTCATTATCATCTATTCCATGCTAATATTTGAGTTGCAATTCTTAAGTGATATATCCTGAAACATAATAAGAGAATGTTTTTAATATATCTGTTTTATAGGATTTACAAGTAGTGTATATACATGTATGTACCTACGCAGCTGACGTCTGTTCATTCACATGCTCATCCATTCATAAAATGCAATGGAATATTGCGCATGCGCATATTTTCACTTCCTTTCGTTGTTGCAATTTTATGCTTTATCGATAGTTGCTTTGATTGTTCGAGAATCGAACACCTTTTTCCGTTTTACCTGGAAATTTCGAGAAAATATGATGTAGACTTATCTGGAAAAGAGCAATTCTTTTTGGACAATTTCTAGTAAAAAGTTCGTTTGTGCGCCAGCAGATAGCAGAAGGTTTCGGTTTTGCCTTACATAATCATTGTACACACGTATTCTAAATTTATCTCTCATATAAAAATGAAATTCTAATACTTTTTTGTTTTATCCTTATAATCAATTACACGTAAAATATGAATAAAATTTCTTCAATCGTAATGAAATAAGAAACGAAGTTATTCTAAATTGTCAACAGTTGGTAAAAAGAATTCTTTCTGAAGAAATTAACAGATAACGAACTTATTACGATTTTTTTTATTATAATTCGTCATAAATATTCAAAAGTAATATAAAAATTTGTTTCCCAGATTTATATTCGTAGAGCTTTTAATATTCACGCATGTAAAAATATTTGATATTACCCAATAGAATTTGATAACGTGGTCGTTATTATATTCGATCGAGTCGCGTGTCACTATATACTGTCGCATCAACGAGTGACGCACGAAGTAGTTTATTACTTGTCTGTTATGTTACTCCGATTAAATTTCTTATGATATTCATAGAAATGTCATTAATAACAATGTAAATGCACCATGCAAGTGCAAGGAATAAAATTGCTTGGATTCTGCTTAATTCTCGTACTCGTCAACATTGGGATATCGGGTGGCATTGGCGGAGGTTAGTAATTTCAAAGTCGCGAGGTTATAAATAAAAACGTTACTTAACGATTTGTAATTAAACAATTTCTTTTAGAACATTCCCTCACGTTTAAGTCATTACGTTCGTACTTTGACACAAGTATTGGAACAGATGTGTTTTTTGAAATTATATATCCACCGGAATTGGAGTATACATACAAATTAAGACCGGCGAAAGACTTTGGAGCGCCATTCGTAAGTTGATGTACATTTTGCTAAGTGATCAAAATATTAAAAATAAACACTTTAATTTTATCTATTACATTTATAATATATATTTTCAGAATGCAAGTTTTTTGGAAGAAGGAATTCCTTTAGTTCCAACTGATCCTCCTCATGGTTGTCAAGTAGCAAAAAATGCCAAAGAATTAAAAGGTAGAATTGCGTTAGTCGAAAGAGGAGACTGTAGTTTTTTTGCTAAAAGTATAATGGCTGAAGAAGCTGGAGCGAAGGCTGTAATTATAGCAGATTATCACTCATCTTCTATTGAAGAATCAATAACTAATTCTCTATGGACTGAGTATTACTATATAGAGATGATACGCGACGATACGATTCCGTCGACAAAGACAGTAAACATTCCCGCTGGATTTTTGCTCGGTAAAAACGGCAAAATAATCCGGCAAACTCTAAAACGTTTGAATCAACCATTTGCCTTAATCAATATCCCGGTGAATTTAACTTATACTTCTCTGGATAAATTACATCAACCTCCTTGGTTGTTCTGGTGATTATTGATAAGATATTTCATTGATTTTTGCACTGATAAAGCAAACACATTGATTTACAAAGATTGGAGTTCCAATGTTACTAAAGAATATGGGATTAATTGCAATCAAAGTAATTATATAAACAATTTATTGCGTACTGTAAAAGATAAGAAAATTTTGTAATTTTATGGAATTTATTCTTACGAATTATTTCGTGAGAGGTTGAGTTTCTCTCTCTAGCCACTCAAGTGCTTGAGCATTTTCTGGCCCTTGCAATAGTGGTTTTAAAGTATTCAAACATTTTGTATGATAATTATTTAAATATTGAATCTGAAAAAAAATTTATAATTAATTATTTTATAGCTATCAATACACAAAGAATAAATCGAATTTATACCTCATTATCTGTTAATAAGGAAACGTCAAGTAGCTTAGTCTGTATAGGCACCAGTGTAACAGTTTCAAATGTAAGAAAGCCACGATTTTTGTGATTGTATGATGTGTTTGCCTTTACTATCAATTCTATATTTTCTAACCTAATGCCAAATTTCTCGTCTTCATAGTATCCTGGTTCTAATAATTTTACCAGTTATAGTGACATTATTAGAATATATGTACAATATAATGACAAAGAATGTGCTTTTATTTTATACCATTTGATAGAAACATGCCAGGTTGTAAGCCTGGATCATCAGGATATGGTTTCCAAGAAATACCTATTGGTCCTTCATGAACGTTTAGATACGAACCTATTCCATGTCCGGTACCGTGAAGATAATTAAGACTGTAATTGTACATTTAAATATAAATAAATATTTTCCATTTTATAAGAAAAATAGATATATTTACCCAACACTCCATAAATTTTCACGGGCAAGTGTATCGAGATAATTTCCCTGTATCATTAAAGGGAAAATAGTCGATGAAAGACGACACTGTCCTTTAAATACTCTTGTAAAACATTCGCGCTCGAAACTTGATGGATTACCAAAATGTAATGTCCTTGTAACGTCTGTAGTACCATCTCGATATTGTGCACCAGAATCACAAAGATAAATTTCTTTATCTGTAATTGGCACGTCTGTTTTCGATGTTGGTAGATAATGTATTATTGCTCCATGTGGCCCAACTGAAGATATTGTAGGAAAGCTAAGTCCAATGAAATGTTCCTGCTGCCTTTAAGATAATACATTGTAATTAATTTTTACTACATTCAAATGTTATTTAATGTTGTATTCAAATTCTCTTACTGTCTAAATTTTTCAAGTTGAGCCGCTCCAGATATTTCTGTAATGGTATTTTTTTCATTCTTAACTTGATCTTCCAACCAAGCAAAATATTTTACAAGTGCCACTGAATCACGTACGTGTGCCGCTTTCATTCCTTTTATTTCAATGTTATTTTTTACTGCTTTCATAACACTTATTGAGGTAATTTTTGTGTGTTTTTTGGCTTCTCCGCAGTCAGTGTGTAAAGCATAACTAGAACCATTACTTACCCATATTTTGTCATCATTTGTACATGAATTTGCGATTTTTTTCAAAAAATCATGTACATCTCCATATGAGTGATAAACTACATTTACTTCTTCACTAATTAATTGTTGCTGAGCTTCCTCAACAAGTCTAGTCTTATCAATGAATAAATGTAGTTCATCTAATGTAAGAATAACATATGCAAAGAAAACGGGATTATAAGGTATATCAGATCCTCTTAAATTCAGAATGTATGCTACTTCGTCCAAAGCTGAGATTACAAGTGCTTTGACATTATTTTTATTCATTACTTCTCTACACAGTTTCACTTTTTTCCCTGCATTACATCCAGAAAATTGTAATGGTTGAGGTAAAACAATGTTAGCTGTAGGAGCAGGCTGTTCATTACCCCAAACCTTATCAATTAGATTCTCTTCAAGAGGCATCAAACAATGACCAGCAGCAGTTAGACTGGTATGTAAAACTGCCCATTCTGTGTAACTTATTAAATTAGCATCTGCTCCAACGGTAGACTTAGGAGGTAAATTAGAAATCAACCATGCAGCTCTGGTTGGAGTATCTAATAAACCTTCTTTCATTAAAGTCCATGCCTCTGGTGGATCAAATTCTGCTATAGCTTGCACATAGTATCTTCCATCAGTCCATAGCATAGCTTTATTCGGTGTAATAATTGCAGTACCAAAAGAACCAGTGAAACCACTTATGAAACGAATCCTTTTATCATGATCTCTTAAATATTCTGATTGATGAGCGTCATCTGAACTTACAACCAAAGCCTGAATACCTTTTCCTTTAAGACCACCTATTTGGACAGCTTCCATTAATTCTCGAAGTTTGACTAATTTAATAGCACTAGTTTTTTGTGCCATATTGATGTTTGTATTATAGCAAGCTTTTAGTACTATATAGAATACTAAAATAAAATAATATTTGATTTAATATAAATTTTCGAAATTATGTGTGATTAATGTGATATTTATTTCTATTTTACTGAATATTGAAATATTAAAAATAAAATATGAATTTAATATACTTACTAACGGTACATATATTGTATAACGGTACGTATATGCGAAGAACTTAATTTATCCCATGTATTTTCAATTTTATCGTCACCTTATCTTATCGTAACGAGATAGTCTTATCCAGACATTTCAGAAAATATTAAACAATTCTGTCTCTTATTCCTTATTGTAAATATAAACTATAAATTAAATATTTTATATATTGATGTTTGAAAGTATGACGTCTTCAGTATCGATTATTGTTTTGTATGAGGTTAGAGAGGACGCGATGTCTTTCGATATTCAGTAAAATATTTATAGGTAAAGTGTACAGTTCAAGCTATAATTTTTCCACTCTTATCTTCAAAATAATTTTAGCTTTTGTTATTCTTGAACTTGAAATAAAATAGTAATATATATTGTAATTTTTTGCGCTGTTATAACTTAATTCACAAAACAAAATTCTCATCAGCATCATAATATAAATTGAAAAATAATTTTTCTCAGTTTCAATAATACTTATTGAAGTGTATTTTATATATTAAGGTGTAAAATTAAAAAATAATATAAAAAATATATAACTGTTTATATCGATTAAAAAAGATTGATTTGTAAAAAAACAACAGTATCATATTTATGTAGGAAATATAACATCATATGTAAGTATGTACATACATGTACATATGCACAATATATGTACAATATATGTACAAGTTGATATAATTTACTACAAAAGGTAAATCTTTTCTAGGATGTTATATTTAACAAGATATTGTACGTCAATAATAACAAAAAACAGCATAATAAGATTCCTACCAATTAAAAAAAATTTATATACAAATACTCCAAAATCAATAGTTACAAATTCAACCTTTACTTTCATAAAAAGGAATTCCAATTTGTATAAGGTGCTGTATATTAATTTTTTAAATTAAACATACAAAATAATACATTATTAAATAATTTTGTGCTCTATTGTCATAGGATTTAGTTAAAAGGGATGCCAATATGGCAAGAAGCTTTGCAACAAAATCAGCTGAAAAATCAAATAAATCTGTTGGGAAATGGTTATTAACTTGCAGTGGCATGGTTTTTGTAGCTGTCATACTAGGTATAACTCTTTATTGGTTTTTTTACTACTGTGCTTATACTGTCATAAAAACGGTTATAGATAAGACCTATGGAAAATAATTTTAATAATAGTAAATAGAAAAAAGATGTTTAAGAATTATATTATTTATAGTTAAGATTAATATATGTGCTTATTATGCTAATATATCAATAAATAAGATTATATAAAATATAATATGTAAATAAAGAAATATTAGAAGAAAAACCAACAATTGCTTGTCTTTCTTAATTTTACATAGGAGGTATAACAAGACTTACAGAATCAGGTTTATCCATGGTTACTTGGAAATTACTTGGTGAAAAAATGCCTACCACTGAAAGTCAATGGCATGCAGAATTTGAACGTTACAAGCAATTTCCTGAGTATAAGACGTGAGTTTTGCTGTATAAAATAATTCTATTAAGTTGTATTTTTCATATAAATTCTTTTGTAGCAATAATCAAAATATGATATTAGAAGAATTTAAACGTATTTGGTGGATGGAATATTTGCACAGAATGTGGGGACGTTTGATAGGTGCAGTATTCATAATTCCAGCAACTTATTTCTGGGCAAAAGGTATGCTAACACGAAGCATGAAAATCAGAGTAGCTGTTTTGGGCTCATTAATTGGCTTACAAGGACTTATGGGTTGGTACATGGTTAAATCGGGTCTGGAAGATCGTTTTGTGGAACCATCAGATATACCTCGTGTTTCACAATATCGCCTGGCTACACATTTAGGAGTGGCACTTATTATATATACAGGATTTTTATATAATGCTTTGGATTATTTAATACCTGCTCAAAAAATAAATCTTAATCATTCAAATGACATTACTCTAAAGTTGAAGTTGAAGAGATTTAGAACATTAGTTCACTCGACAAAGGGATTGGTCTTCCTTACCGCTTTATCAGGAGCTTTCGTTGCAGGCACAGATGCAGGTCTGATATATAACACGTTCCCAAAAATGGCAAATAAATGGATACCGGATGATATATTTATATCATCACCTTTGTTGAAAAATTTTACAGAAAATCCAACTACTATACAGTTCGATCATAGAATACTGGTATGTATATTATTTTGAACATAATAATCAAATTAATTTGTAGTATCATAAACTGTTTTTTACAGGGTATCACAACTTTATCATTAATAACTTATATTGCAACTATATCTCGTAAATATAAACTTCCTGGAAATGCAAAGAAAGCTATTACAGCTGTACTTTATGCTGGCTATTTGCAAGTATTATTAGGAATTTTGACATTAGTATATCATGTACCTGTATTACTAGGTGTGTGCCATCAATCTGGCAGTCTCATAGTTTTAAGTACAATGATATGGTTGTGTCATGAATTAAAATATTTGAAATATGTATTAAAATAAATTTATGATATCATATAACATTTTATTATTTTATACTGCTCCAAAATTAACAAAAAAATGCTACAATAATTTCACAACGTGACGCTTTATTTGACAATGCATTAAATTATAATAATCAATATTCATGGAAATTAATTTACATACATTTATTTTAAAGTAATCAAAGTTTACAATCAAAGTTTAAGTATTTCCATATTACTAAATTTTATTTTTTAATTTCATGTTTAAAAGAACAAATAAATTTGAAGATAATATTAAACAAATATTAGTAGCGTTTTTTTTAGATTATACTTTACGAACCTGACTGGATTATATCTTTAATATAAATTAAAAAAAATTTGTTACTAACATCAGCTGTCCTTTTTTATGCTTAACATATATGAAATATTTAATGATGTTAGTACTGGCACCTAATTTCAAAAACCAGCTTTGGTAAATAATATGATTTGTTCAATCAGTTTAAAAAATGTGTAAATCCTGCTTAATCAATAATTGCTATCTAATTATAATATTTTTCATTAACATTCCAAAAGTTTTTTCAATGCTTTATAACGTCTGATTAGTAACACAGTGAATTCAACTTTATTTTTACTGGCAGTTGTTCTACCTCGTCTCCAATCAGTCGATTTCTGATTTTTTTATATTTTTCATTTAAAACGCCTTATATTGGTCCAACATAGCATTATTAATATTAAGCAGTAGCAATATTTAATAGGCGTTTTGAATTGCACTTTCGTTATTGTAACGCTTTTTATTTACACTCTTCATATTTTCATTTCATTATACGACACTTGAGTCGCATCACATATTTTTGCTTAATATTATACGGACATGAGTATTAAAGAAAAATGTATATTATCATTCACACAAATACAAATTACTTTAAAAAACGCAACATTTATATTAAAATCTTTATACGAACATGCGTGAAAACAGTTTAATTGATACTATACACAAAATAATCTTCCTGTACTGTTTGAACATCAATCAAAATGAACTTAAAATGCAGTCTCTTGCAATATATTGCAAATAACTCAAATCCTACATTGCAAAACTAATATCAGTCTGATAGAATTTATTATTTCATTGAGAATCTTATGTCTTAGTTTTTTGGTAACGAATATTTTCTCTTTAAATGCGATATCATTTCCATTTCTATAGTTATGAACTCAAGCCTAATTGCATGTAACCGATAGAAAAAATGGAACATGTTCCAATTATCTTAATTATTATTATATATTGGAAATAGAACTTTGAGTCTTTAATCAATCATAAAAGTTAACTGGCCTATATTTTAATTGATTGTTAACTATCGGTCATTTATGCATAGACTAAAGTTCATCTAAAATAATACTTTAGATGACATTATTGTTTTATCAAAGAAATCACATATTGGATCAAACAAGAATATTTCTTCAGTGCATTATTATAAATTATTGTACAAATTTTATTTTTTTTTGCGTAAAAATCTACTAGTCAATGAACACAATTAATTAATATGTGAATAAAAGAATGATATATGTGAAACACTTAAATTTAAAACAAGTGCTCCCTTTATTTGCACTAATCTTTATAATATATCAAAGAAATGCATAATACAAGATTTCATTTCCTTTATATGAACAGGGTTTTATACACTTACGTTCATACCTTTAATGATTGCTTCCAGTCATTTTTATCATTATAACTTGTATGCAATTACCCAATTTATAAATAAGTTACTTACAAGATTAAATATGTTTGCTTTGACACTCAAATTGAGAATAGTGAAACCAACATATGTATCTGTATACATACATATTTTATATATTACGTATTATACATACACGCACACGCAATACTATATATTATAATTTTACGATCAATGCATATGAAAAACAAACTTTATCACTGCTGTGTTAGTACAGTCAATAAATTCACACGCATAATATATCATTTTGTATAATTATATTTTATATCATTTTTTTCTGTGCAACATGTGGAGCAGAAGTAAGAATTAAGTGCTATTAAACTTGAACTAGCAGTATTGATTTTACTGTGTTGATCGTTTTATCATAAGCACATTTAACACAGATGTGAAAGTGATTGTGCCGATAAAATTGTATAAAAATTATACATTCTGCACCACATGTAATTTAATTAGTCTTATATTTTTTTTCTCGGTGCATTATTTAGCTGTGTAGACCTTATATAATATCTTATTAGTACTTATAGGAAGGAATCGTAGATTTTAGGCCATTAATAGGCCAAACATGTATTTTTGTGAAATAATTCGAATTTATGTCTTATGAACATTCACAATACAAAAAAATTTAATGAATTTAAACAAAAATGTTATATGTATATTTTACGTATTATGCAACAAAAGCTCTTAACAATCTTTTCTATTAATTTATTGTTAGAAAAATTATAATTATTAATTATAAATCCAAAAAACTTAGAAAATGGAATCTGTAAAAGATACGAAAAAATGCAATTCAATAATCAGCATATACCTTGTTTCTTTTTTTTCACTATTGTCCATTGTATCTTTATATTCGTCAATTATTTATGTAGTTTTTTTATTATTATTGTTATTGTTAATATAATTATTATTATAATCTTTCTTTAAGTGTATGTTTTTATTTTTATATCATATAATTATGTAACACGGTTTAATAAGCAGCATAGAATAATTTTCTACATGTATACTTAGTTTCCCAAGTGTTACAGCACCAGCACCTTCGTTGGTAGTAACAAATAAGTATAACAACATTCCTGTTATGAGGTAAATGTTATCTCAATACCAATTGTGTTTATACATCTTTTTGTATAAGTGTTTAACTTTAAACCAACATTAATAAGGATTCTTTAACAGTTTATTTTTGCATGTATTTAGCACTGTATTTTCCTTTTGAGCTACCATATAAATTAATAAAAATTAAATAATCACAACCCACAATTTAAACGCAATATTATTTAATCCTTATAACAATTATATATATTATGAGAGTTATATTGTAAGTGCATTTTATTATAAAAAAATCACTTCAAGAATTGCTGCTTTGCTCTTAATAGTGACACAATATAAAATTAAAAAAAAAAAGGTATTCTTACTTCGAATGCAGGTAAGAATGTGCTTATCAGAGAAAAATGATTCAGTATGACTTGTATATCTCGTATAAGATTAGCTCAACTTGTTTTCACAGGACTGTCATCCAATTTTTCTGGATTTACAATTACTTGTATTACGTAGCCTGGTTGTATCTTTGCTTCTTCTATGTGCATTTTATCACCTAATAACTTTCCACCGAAAAACCACCTTTGACGAGATGGTTCTAGACCTTCTTGACTCTATTCATATAAATTATATGAATAATTAATGCAAAATAAAGAAAATAAGCTTAGTATATATAATTTTGTACATACTTGCAATTTCTTTTTAGCAGTAGCAATAGTATCTTTACTGTAAACAGGCAATTTAACTTCCCCTAATGTAGTTGATAATCTCAGTTTCAATGTCTGTTCAACTCCACTATCAATAGGTTCTATAATTAAGACGATGTAAAAAATTACTTTCTTTTTTGAGAACATCCTTGAATTCTTTGAGAAAGTTTATTAAATTTAGTTGTTAGTTAGATTACCTGAACAGTCGGCAGGGGAGTCTCTTCCACTATCTTCCTTCACAATATTAATTGGATATGATAAGCAATAAATAGGGACTTGATATCTGGTTCCCAGTTCATCATAACATTCAGTTAAAAAGCCATTCGGCACAGAAATATTAGCTCCATCTAATATAGCCTGTGCTAATTGATAATCCTGAGCTTCTGCTGCTGTTGCCCCAGCTCTTAATGCGTCCCATATTTCTTTCCGTCCATCAAATGCAGGTGCAGTATCCCAAAATTCATCTCTTTTACTTCTTAGCTGTCCTTCTGTCAAAGGTACATCTGATTTCCACCTAATTGCTTCATGGCATAATGGATGATTTTTCCTTGAATTTCCTACATAAACAGATTTTTTTTTTTTTTTTGTGAGACAACTAACACATTGATTTTTTAATTAAATTAAAGAATCACATAAGAAACATGTTAAAAATAGAAATAATTACATTGAATTAAGACATTCACTCATGTTACATGTAGTACAATGATTCTAAAGTTCAACACAGAGATAAGCAATTTAAAAATTCTTTTATTTTCAATAATAAAATAAAAATGCCAAATTTAATGATAGAAGCAACAAATATAATAATATTTTGATGAACTCGTTCAACACTATGAGATAATGCACTGCGTAATATATGATTGTGTGATATTCTATGTAATAAATAATATGCAAATTCCAATGCATAACACGCAATGAACGTTAGATAGGAACGTAAGGAAAAAACCTGGATTGTCTTCAAGGTTAGCTGTTGTTGATTGCATTTTCTAGGGAGATAATTTTATCTTAATTTTTTTACCTGAATTTACTCTTGTGGAATTTCCTGTAGTATTGTCGACAGAGGCATTTCTTGCCCTTGTTATGCCTATGCAGCCTCCCATCCTAGGTGGCTGAAGTAACCAAACATTTCACTAAAATTTAACAACACCTCACATGCCATTTTCGTCCATCTTATCCACTAAATTGCAAATCGGTACCATTAGAGGCGCTATAATCGAATCTTTGGTAACCTAACCTGAAATATTAACAGATACAAACGAATTTTGAATTAAAATAAAACAAGTTTTACAAATAATTTTTCAGTATATCTGATATTTCACCGACACATTATCCCGTGACGTAATAATTACCACCGGACACGTTCCAATCAAATTATATTTAATAATTTTAAGTAAAAAAATTAATTACGCTCGGGATACTGGATAGAATTATATTTTATTGATATACTGAGGTTAAGTAACGTAGTAACACAGGAAGGCATGATTTGCAATGGCTTCACTTACAAGTAGTGTTTTTAAAGAAAGATTTCTGGATGCTTTTGAAGAGAACGAAGTACTGAACGCAACGTGTCAAGAGATCGCCTCAGGTATGTATTAATTATCATGATTATTCTTCCTGTATATATTGATGATTGGCCTTGATATTTGAAGAAAAAACTAGATACTTGTTTTTGATCCGTTAAAATATTATCTGCAGCAAAAATACCAATGAAAATAGCGTGTTTTGATATGTTATATATTTTTAAATAAATGAAATAGAAAAATGTATATTTCTATGATACATACATTGTCTGAAAATAATTATATTATTTAATTTCTAGAAATACAGTCAGGACATGTAAAACTTTATGCAGTTGTGGAGGAACTTAAACCTTTTGTAACTGAAAAAGATGTTACAATGCGAGAGAAAGGCATCTCTGCTCTTTCTATCATTTTATCACACTTATCTAAGGATTTCTTGAATGAAGCTGAATTGCGTTTTATAACGTCATTTTATTGTGACAGATTAAAAGATCATTATAGCATTATACCAGCAGTATTAATAGGAATTCTGGCAATCGTAGGTTTTGCATTTTATCTAATGTTGTAATAATTACGTTTAAACATAACAATTGAAATAATAACTATAAAGTAATGTAATTGCTTTAGGTTCAAATGGATCATTTGCCTAAGGATTCGCCTGAACATTTACTTAAGGTTCTTTTTGAAAATGTTCAGTGCCAATCTCAATTATTATCTGATCGCAAGAATATATATTTTATACTTGCAACATTAGTAGAAAAAAGGATAGAAGATTTAAAAGCTATGGGACCAAATTTTATTTATGGAGTCATTACTATTATAGATGGAGAAAGGGATCCTAGAAATCTTATGTTATTATTTAGCATACTTCCACATTTTATGAAAGAATTTTCATTAGGCCATTTAACTGAAGAAATGTTTGAAGTCATTGCATGTTATTTTCCAGTTGACTTCAATCCTGTAATTAAATCAAGCAATCGAGATTTTAATTGTTTATCATTTGTGAATGTAAATTGTAATTTGACTTGACATTTTTCAGTCTGGAACAGAAGGAGTAACACGTGATGATTTGGCAGAAAAATTGGCACCTTGCCTTTGTGCTATACCAGAATTTGCAGAATTTTGTATGCCACTTGTAATTGATAAATTGTTCTCCAACCTCAAGGTTGCCAAGTTAGACTCTTTAAGTCTATTGTACAAAGGTGTAAAGACATTTGGTGTGAATGGCATAAAAAACTATTTGACCGAATTATGGTCTGTTTTAAGAAAAGAAATTGTACCAGGTGGAGATTCAGAATTAAAAAATGCAAGTTTGAAAGCAGTTATGTCTGTAATTGATGTTATATCAAGCGATGTTAAAGTTTGTGAAAATTTCATAGATCATGTAATCACAGATGTAAAATCATCTTTATATGATGTGCAACTTAGTTTATTTAAACCGTCTGTGGAATTGCTAGAATGCGTGGCAATGGTCAATAAAGAATCATGTATACAAGTATTAAAATTAATAGTACCATTATGTCTTGGCCAATATTCTACTAAAACTTCAGTAATTGATAAAATAATTTTAATCAAAACATTAAATAATTTTATTAAAATTGCCTCTGATCATGGATTTACTATTAAGGGTAAATGTATATTTCATATATTTTAAGACACGTATTTAAAAATGTTTTAATGTTTCAATGTTTTAGATATTCCAGAATTGGCGTGGACAGATATACCAAATTTATATTTAAACGAATTATCAACAAAAAATATGGAATTACAATCAAAAATATTACTTGGTTTAAAAATACAAAAAGCGTATTTAAATAAAGCACATCGTACTTTACTTTATGATAAAATTTGCGATCTAATTGGAACAAATTATAATGAAGTAAAGATACTCTGTCATTCGTCTCTTTTAAGTTTTGCTACCCTGTATCCACACGAGATATCAATTTTGATCAAAGAAAAATTTCAATTAAATGCTGGTAAACACTTAATATTTAGATTTATGAAAATATGTACATCAAAGTATATATTTATTATTTTGATTGTTTCAGGTGAGGAGAAAACAGAAATAGAGACTTGTAAACTAGAAGTACTAGCAACTGTTGCTAAAACATATAAATTAGGTATTGAAGTTCTTCCACAAATTGTATTACAAACAAATATTACGAATACTGACATAAGCTTTACAGCTCTAACATGTCTTCACAGGCTAGTTGCTACAGAAAATATTAATTATGATGTTCAGCACTATCTATATAATGAATGTAATATTATTGAAAAATTGACTACCCTTAATATTAATTATACAGATCAAAGATTAGATTTAGTTTTAAATATTTGTCGATTAATTGTACGAAGTCTTACACTTGAAGAGCAACAAAATGTTGTCAATAAATACTTTCCAGTTTTAAGTGAACAAAATTCGGAAGCTGATGCCGCTTTAGTAATGAATATTTTTATTCCCTTACGTCAAAATGTTGATTTAGCAATAAATACAAATCTGTTACAAAATCTATACAAATTAGCACTTAACAGTCAACATTCAAATATAAGACTCATAACATGTAAATTTATTGCTGTAATATTGAACAAAATTAATGACGATAATGAATATTTCCAACGTGCTTTATGTTATTTTAAAGAAATAATAAATAATAATTTAAATTCAAATACTAATATTAAAATAATGCAAGCAACAGCTTCTTTACAAATCTGGCTAACAAAAGCCATAATTACGAAAGGTTCCTCAGATGTTGAAATATTTTTAAATGAGGTATGTAAAAATATCCAATTTTTTTCCCAATATTTCATATTTAATATTTAATATATTTTGATATTGCATTTATATAGCTTACCAATATTTTGAAACATGACCAAATAGGTCAGCATATCGCACAAGAGTATAAAATTTTGACAAATGGACATGAGGATAGTTTGGTAGAAGAAAACTTTTGTAATATCAAAATTTTTTATAAACAAAGAGTATTTGAACACTTAATTAAAAAAAATTCTGAATTCAAAAACACATCAAGGCAGAATTATTTAAGTGCAGTTGTACAGCTGTTAGAAGAAATACCTCTGACGCTTTTATTTATGTATTTAACTAAGGTACTCAGTATATGTTGATATAAATAACACAGTTTATATTATTATTAAATATTTTTTTCAGTTGGTCCCACTTTTAATAGAATCTTTATCTCTTGATAATGAACAAATAATTTTTTTAACATTAACAACATTAAACCTCTTATTGGAGACTAAACACAGTATTTTTTCTGATAAAATACAAAGTTTTATACCAAGATTGTTAAAGTTATCTACTTATAAAATGATGGTAATATTTCATAAAATTACTCAGTATCTCCTTAGTATATAATATTTTATAATTTTTATATTTTCATATATTGTAGAAAATCAGGATAGCAGCGTTAGAATGTCTAACAAATTATTGTAATTATCCGACGATTGTTATTAACATATACAAACAAGATGTATTAGAGAAATTATTAGTTCCAATTGACGATCGAAAACGTTTAGTTCGAAAAGCCGCAGTAAAAGCAAGATCACGATGGTTTTTAGTTGGTGCGCCAGGAACAATGAAAGAACAATGATCTGATTATTGTTACATTAAATTTATCACCATAAATTCATAAATACATTTATTTTTTAATATAAATAGATATAAAGTTATTTTATATATTTTTAAAGTTATATACATGAGTGTAATTTTACATATGCATTTATATAAAGCAAATGATTTCTCTTAGTGTACTACTTTTTTTTGTAAGAGCAAAGAAACTGATTCATCATATTGTATTTGTCCTATATATTGTATATAATGTACATAATTGAATAAAGAATTGATTTCTATAATAGGATTGAAACCTGAAAGTTACTCTTTAATGCATTTAGTACACTAGAAGCATGGGTGATGGTAAGACAACTCATTTTTCTCAGTTTCAGAAATGTAAAAGTTATGTGGAATATTTGTGTTGCATTAAAATTTATTTATAGGTGTGGTAAAGAATGGTGCATATAAATATGAAGATGGTACAAAATATATTGGGGACTGGAATGCAAAAGGGTTGAAACATGGTGCTGGTTCTTTACTTCTTCCTGATGGAACACGCTATGATGGTGGCTTTCAAAATGGATTGTGTTCTGGCTTAGGAGTTATAATATTCCCAGATGGAGCAAAGTAAATATCATAAGATCATAAATATTCTACTTTTAATAATTATCAATTTTCTAATACACATATGTACTAGGTATGAAGGTGAATTTATGCAAGGTTGGTTTCATGGTCATGGTGTATTTTGGAGGTCAGATGGAATGAAATTTGAAGGAGAATTTCGTGGTGGTCGTGTATGGGGATTAGGTATGTAAGAATTTATGTGTTGAACTTTATATTAAATTAATAATTTATTACTTCATTTATTTATTAGGATTAGTTACATATGCAGACGGATCACATGGTTTTCCTAGAAATGAAGGATTTTTTCAAGATTGTAAACTTGTACGGCGTAGACATTGTCCAGATATAGTACAGAAAGCACAGAAGATCTCTATGATGGCTCGTGCCCAGTGTAATTAAATATTAAATATAAAAATTAGTTACTTATTATTTAAATGTAAAAATTAGTTACTTATTGAAACTTATTGAAATCTAATAAAGAGATCTAATATGTCATACTGTAATTCTTTCAATTATTATATTTATTGTTAAATTAAGATTAAGATTCGAAGATATATGTTACATAACACAATTTTTCAATCTGACATTGATAACGTCATCAAATATGCAATGATGCAATATGTAATGATAAAAATAATTTCATAATTATTTTTTGTTATGTAAAATTATAATATTCATGAATGTGTTTACGTAAAATTTTAAATCAGTAAATCACACGTGATCGTATGATAATATATTAGCATATATGTATATACATATTTCAATATAAATATAAGATAATATAGCTTATCTCAAACAGAAGTTTGTAAATTTCTCGAATCACTTCATATATGGTGACAAATTTTATGAGATTGAGGTTTTGAACTAATTCTAATAATATTTTACAAATTTCTAATAATTTTTAATATCATAGATTTGACATCAATAACTTAATGTTATACAGTGGATAAGATAGATAATGATTTTTATGGTTTTACGACTGTTTTACATTGTTCCGAGAATTTGAAAGGCAAATAAGGGTTAAAGGAAGGAGTATCAGACGACACTTATGACAAGTTTTCGTGATAATATTAACCAATAATTGTCACGCGATGTTACTAAATCTAAATAAACAGTGATTGTGATAAAAGTTTTACGAACTTTTATAAACTAAATAAAATGCTTCGTAACGTAAATACTTTTATTAAAACCATGATGAATTAATATTTCAGTAATAGTGTCGGTTCATTAATGAAACAAAATTATTGTTCGATTTTCTTCTTTTTATTCTACAATTTGATAAAAATTTGATTTTATTTTTTTTATGAGAATTTTATTAATAATCATACACAATTTTTTAACAAATTTTCAAAAAGAAATAAAAACCTATTGCAGCTTGAAATGACAATTCCAGGTAAGAACAATTTTATTTTACAGTTATATAGAATAGTTTTCTATTGCTTCGCTTTTATCATTGGTCAACATGGAGATGGTGCTTGTATTTTGTTCCCTCTCTTGTTTTGATTAGTCAATAGTCAATATTCAGTGTTAGCGTATTTCTGCTTTTTTTGAGTTTTGTTTGCAATATACTACAAACTCATCTTTCACATAACTTATACATGGAGTGTTCCTGTAATTTATGATTTACGATTGTAAGAAGTATTGCTGGCGTTACTTCGCAAGTATTGTTATTAATAATTGTCATCCATAATTCGAAATTAATTAATATTAATTGCAAATATTGATACACTAGCAACAGTATGATACATGTTAATTCATCGTCTTAATAATATATCTAATCAATTTGTATCTGATATACTTAAAGAAATTCTTTATTAGTCAATTGGAAATATATGCATTGATTGAACCATGAAAGGACAATTTAATTTTTATCAACATAGTAGAAGTATAGCATTGAATAAGTTGAATTTAAATTGAATTCAAATTGAAATTGAAAGAGCTATCGAAATACGTCTTTTATAGTATTATCAGTTTGAGTGAATTTACAAGTAGTTTTAAATGCACGTTTGTCATATAATGCATTCATGTTTTTAATTTGTGCATAATTAGAATAACCTTTAATGCCAAAGGAAATGGAGACTATGAATAGATATTATAATCATTTTTTAAAAAATATACTGCATGAGTTCTTTTTATTTACTATGTGAGTTTAATTTACTATATGAGTGCTTTTTAAGTTATTTTAATTCAATACTTCGTTGTTAGTTCATGAAAAATGTTCAATGATCAAAAGAAAAAAAATATTATATAAGAATTAATATTTTATCAAATTGGTTGTTCATTAAATTGATGAATATTTTATATTTTTGATATAATTTTTTCTAATTTTCAGTCAAGAAATCAAATATTAGATTAAAAGAAACTGTAAATGACTCGAAGATCAACAATGAGCCCTCAAACTTATAAAAATAACATTACTACAAAAGCTATGACATCTAATGGTTACAATAATACCGAGACTCCAAGTAAGGAGTCCAAAAACCATTCATCACCTTGTGAGTTATTCAAGTGTATGTGTGCTTAGAGTAGCCATTTTTTATTCTTTTATTATTATTATTTATATATAAGAAATGATTGTTTAATAATCACTATTAATTATATTAAAATGATTGTATAATAATCATACTAATTATAAAGAAATATTTTAAATAATAATTTCAATTTAAACTGACTTTTTTATATGCATTGTCTTCTCTTTATTATTATATTTTTATATTTTAGTTTTTATATCTTTATAATTATTTGTATTTTTATTTATTTATTTATGCTGTGATATAAGAGCTTATATTGTATTTATAACTCATAATCTGTTGTTATGTGAATAAATATTATGTGCTTTGTATACGAATTTATTTTTATAATAGTTGTATTTCGTTTGATTTTGCATTATTTGAATATTTCTGATTCTTTTTCATTAATGCTATTAAAATCATAATACTTATGTTTTTAGCAATGCCATGGTTTGGTATGGATATAGGAGGTACATTGTCTAAATTAGTGTACTTTGAACCTAAAGATATTACAAGAGATGAGGCAGATGCAGAAGTTGAAACTTTGAAAAATATTCGACGATATTTAACAAAAAATTCAGCATATGGGAAAACAGGTCATAGAGATACACATTTGCAAGTATGTTTTATGAGTATGCTTTATGAATAATCTATTCCATGTGTTGTGTAATCTATTCAGCATGTTTTTCTGTTCTGTTACAGATGGATAATGTATGTATCAGAGGTAGACGTGGTACATTACATTTTATTAGATTTCCTACAAGTGAAATGGGAAATTTTTTAGCATTAGCGAGATCTAAAGGTATGGCAAATCTTGTGACAACAGTCTGTGCTACTGGTGGTGGAGCATATAAATTTGAAAAGAACTTTAAACAAGTAAAACGTTTATCCTAATATATTTTAATACATAATATATACGCAGTATAAATTTTAATAATTTATATATTTTCTTTGTAGGAAGTAAATATGAATTTAGCAAAATTTGATGAATTAGATAGTTTAATACGTGGCATGCTTTATATAGAAACAACAAATCCACATGAATGTTATTATTGGTCTTATCCTACAGATGATAGTAAATGTCAGAAGGTTCCTTATGATTTTTCTGAACCTTATCCCTTTTTGGTATGTTTCAGTTTCATAAAATATTAAATTGTGTATATTATTTATAAATATTTTTATAAATACTTTTTACAGCTTGTAAATATAGGGTCAGGAGTGAGCATATTAACAGTTTATGGGCCAGAAAATTATAAAAGAATATCTGGTACCAGGTGTGTTTTGTTTATAATAGTATAAAAATGTATACTATTAAATTATATTTTAACTAAATTTTACTTCATATTTAGTCTAGGTGGTGGTACGTTTTTAGGATTATGTTGTTTATTAACTGGATGCAACACTTTTGAAGAGGCAATAGAATTAGCAACTGGAGGTGATAATACTAAAGTAGATAAATTAGTTAAAGATATTTATGGTGGAGATTATGGTCCATTTGGTCTTCCTGGAGATCTTGTAGCAAGCAGGTAGTATTTTCAATAATTAAATAAATGTTATTTTTAATTTTGTATTTTTTTAACTCATCTTTTATTTAATACATATTGTTTTATTGTGTGTTTAGTTTTGGACAGATGAATTCTAAAGATCGACGGAATGCAGTTAGTAAAGAAGATCTTGCACGCGCAACACTTGTTACTATTACAAATAATATTGGTTCTATCGCGCGTATGTGTGCTGTGAACGAAAAAATTGAAAGAGTAAGAAACATTTGTAATTAATGTATTTATTATATTTTTAATAAATTTTTAATACTAATAACATTAATTGGTAATTTTAGGTAGTATTTGTAGGAAACTTTCTTAGAGTAAATCCTATATCAATGAAACTTCTGGCCTATGCTATGGATTATTGGTCTAAAGGAACGATGAAAGCTTTGTTTTTAGAACATGAGGTGGAACATATGAAATACTCTTATATAAGCTTAAAAAATTTTAAAGAATGTATTTATCTTTTTTTCTTTTTTAATTTGTAGGGTTATTTTGGTGCAGTAGGATGCCTGCTCCAATTTAAAGGTGAAACAAACTAATATTATAGAAAGACAAATAATATATATATATATATATATATATATATATATATATATATAT